TTTACTAAGGATTGAAGCCAGGCCCTTCCTACTTAGCTATGTCTCAAACCCTCCTTTATCATCATCATCATCATCATTGTTATTTTTGAGATAAAGTCTTACTCAGTTGCTAAATTAATCAGGCTGGGGTCAAACTTGGGATCATCTTGCCTTAGCCTCCCACAGTTTGGAGATTAGAGGTTTTGTACACCACACTGGACTTCTTACATCTTAGACTTAAGGTTCACTTACTGTGAATGCTCTCAAACCAAAAGAGATGGTATTTGACAAGTTTTTCTAAAATATGGATCTTTTGAGTCATTGTCTAACTATAAACACACAATTCACTTTTTTCTTAGTAATATAAACAAGTTGAGAAGAAACTATAGATACTACTTCAGCTCAATAAATATTACAATGGAACTTTTCAATAAATACATATACATTTATATATGTATGTGTATTTATAAATATATATGCTCATGCATACATTTTCCCCATTTCCTGAATGGGGTTTCTTCAAAGGTATATTTTCATAATTTATTCCATTTAAGTATATTTGTTCATTTATTATTAAAGAAATATAATCATGGTATATAATTCCACAAATACTATTAAGTAAAATAACATCTATAATAAATTTATGTGGATGAGGAAAAAGAGAGGAATAAACAGAGAGAGAAAAAAGGAGAATTACTGGTTGTAAAAGTCACAAAGAAAATCTAATTGACTTGGAAAGGAAATTATAAGTCACGTGGAAACAAGAATAAATTGCTGTCAATGTATTGGACAATAAATTTTTATATTAATCAATTGGTACAGTAGTGCCCTCAGGGGATACTGCAGTGCTAAGATATGATGTTCAATAATTCCTTAGACTTGACAGTAATATTTGTCACTTATATATTAAAATCAAAGAAGTCAACACTTTTATTTCAATAAACCTTATTTTCTTATCTAAATTTTCTAGTCATTCATGTGTAAACGTTTTTATTTTGTGTGTATTAGATCATATAGAAAGAATCCCTGTGCATGCTACCCAAGTGTCCTACCACTTCGCTATTCTCCCACACTTAAATTTACTTTTAAAGTTCAGGAATACATGTATATATATTCT